TTCCATGTGGATTTCCAATATGTTCAGTACTGCTGACAAATACACGCATGATTTTTTTATGGCCTGTCAGAAAATGGTATATACTGTTTTGTGTGTGGTTGCATTAGATAGAAGGAGAGACATTTAGGAAGTTGTTTGTTTATCCACAGTAAAGTGTCTGTTGCAATAATTCTGAACACAGTTATAGTTATAACACTTACTTATTCATGGTTACACCAAAAGTGTAAACCATTGCAGTGCATTATACCACATGACGTGAGATTTGGTTTGATCCTTATATCTTTAGAAGAGACTAAGGTTGTCGATTTATTTATTTATTTTGACTTTTTAAATTAAATTTTTTGCGGTTAAATGTAATATTTCTCAGTGAATAGAAAATCAGTTTGCCTATTTTTAGTCTTGTCTCCGAAAAAATCGACTTGAAATATTTTTATTGAATATTTCCACAGTTATTTCCCAGTTTATTGAGGGTATGTTGACCTTTTGACCCCAATTGCGGGGGATGTTGTCACAGTGGAATCTGCCATTAAACAGCATATGTCTCTCAGCTAAATATTTTAGGAATAACAAACAGTTAATAAAAAAGCTAAAATATAAAAGGCAACATTTGCTGGCTAACAAATACGGTAAAAAAAAAATGTTATAAATGTATAATGTTTTACAACACATGTGGCAACTTGCCTTAATTAAAATGAAAATTGTGACAAAAATATGGGTGAAATGATGTTCCATCATCATTCAGTGTAAATTTATGTAAAAATTAAACAATATACTTATTCTGACATGTTTTAAAATATACAAAAGAAAAAAATGATCATACTAAATTTTATTATATTTTAAATGATTAAAGACTGGTCTTTTAATGTCATCTGATTCTTGTTCTAAATATGCCTGACAAGATTTTTTGTTATATGAACTATTGTTACACTGAATAACATTTTAGTGGGTGTCTACTTAAAAATGTATGATAGTGATTTTTTTGCTCAGAGAAAAATAAAACCAAACAGGGCTCAGAGAAACAAAACAAAATTTGAAGCTGTATTAAACTTTTATTGTTTTGATGCTTTTAGTCTTTGACCCATGCATAATATAGTGAATTAGAAGGCAACGTGAATGCATGATATTTCAGCACAGAACATTCTATATTGACCCTTAAGTTAAATAATGCTATCTAGAATCACTTTGACACTCTTTTGTCTATGAAAGATTTCAGTAAATCCCCACCCGGGTCCATAACTGAAGCGTTTTCCATTTATTGTTCTGTGATATTTCTGGCTTAGTGCTTTGGCATTTGCAGCATCTCTATAAAACTTGACTGGTTGATCTTGTACACTGCTGATTTATGAGAAATGATGAACTTGATTGCTCAGAGCTGATGTGATTTTCTCATGCACCTTTCACTCGTAACAGAACACACAGCAGGAGACGCGCACGAAAATGAAATTAGAAAAGTTAAATGACTTACGGCAGTAATCGGCCATAAACCACTTGAGTAAGCTCAGCAATTAGGTTTAATGTTGTCAATATCACCGGCGAACTTATGCAGCTGACTTCGTTTGTAAAATAACATACTTTGCTCTTTTAAGACAACGCCAGTAGCTATTTTAATATGTGTGCGTGTGTGCTAGTGTGTGTTCTGAACTCTAGTCTAGATTTCAAAATGTTTTTTCAGAGTCATGTTGTCTTTGCACAGAAAGCACAATTCCTTCTACTAAATTAAGAATGCATGCACAGTTATGTAATGAATTAATGTGCATTGCATCAGCATTCATGAGCACATCATGTCTTGCAGAACATTTTTGACTAATTGTGTAGTTAGCCTGCTGCACACAAGTGTACAAAGACCTTGATCGTGATGTTTTTTTGCTGCAGATAAGTCTTTGTTGCTCTCGCCACCTAAGATGTGCACAGACGACTGAATCAAACACGAACACACTGTCACAGATCGCTCTGCCTTCACTGGTCCTCACTGACAAAGGACAAAATGTTCTTTAATGTTGCCCTTATTTCTGTTTCCTCCTCTGCCAGAAGCTGTGCTCATTGATAACAGTGACATCACTTCCTCTTACATGATCAATCTTGACTTAGGACTTCCTGTGTGAGGGCCTGTTGTTCCCCTAAGATGTAGGTCCTTTTATATTCTTTATTCATTAGCACCACTACAGCATTTATTTAAAAAATTGCTGAGAATTTTTTCCTGATACATAAGCTAGTTGTGAGAAATGGGTTTGTTGATTTTGAGGTAATTTGATCTAACATGTGTTTGCAGATAGCTACTGAGAAATCGCAGAAATGATCACATATATTCTGAATTTGAAGACTATGATTTTCAGTTTTAATGAGTATGACTAACCTTTCAAATTTGTGCTGAATGAGTGATAGGATAGAATTTTGGATAAAAAGCACCCTTAATATGGATGTAACTAAACCATACAAAAGTACTTGATTTTTTTTTTAAATGCCAAAAGTTTTTGAAATAAATTGGTAGTGCTATACCCTTTGGGAAAAAAAATGTGTTTTTGGTACTATTTACATAATGTCACGAATCCGGTCCATGGACTTCCATCCGATCGCCACCAGAGGTCACTCGTCCATCATATTGACTCTCTCACTACACTGACTGTTGCACGTCACCACGGACTACATTTCCCATGCACCATTTCACTAATCACACGCTCACCTGAGACCAATCACACACACTACATAACACCCACTCAGCTCCTGCTCTGATCGCCGAGTATTGTTCTGCGTTTAGCACTCCCCAAGTGTTAGCTGCTTTACCGAGCCATTCCGTGTTTCTGTGTTGTCTCTAGTTTTGTTTAGCGTTTATCTCTCCTCTAGCGATAGCTACATTACTGAGCCATTCCTTTTCCCATTTTTAGTTTTAGTCTAGTCTTTCCGTGTTGCCTTGTTGTCTGTTTCCTGACCTTCTGCCTGTGTTTATTGGATTACCCCTCTTGTCAAGCCCTCTGGATACTGTTCGCCGATCGTAGACCCACGCTAGCCCAAGGAATATTCTTTGTCTTGCCTGTGCCATACCTGTTTGCTGTTGTTCGACCCTGCCTGTGTTTTTTGACCACGTCTCTTGTGAATAAAAGCTTGCACATGGATCCGCACACCTCGCGTCTCGTCAGCCTCGTAACAGAATACTCGGCCACACAAGGATCCAGCGGCTTTTCAAGTGGACATTGGTCAGGTATGGACATTGCAAGATTGTTATTAGCCCTCAAGCAGGGCACACGATTGCTCGAGGACTATATTCAAGAGTATTTACACTTTGCTTATTACTCTGATTTCCCGGACTGCGTTTTGATAGACTTTTTCTGTGAGGGCATTAATCAACCACTAAAGTCTAAACTCACTCACGAGGGTCCGCGTTAATCTTTCAGTCAGTGTATGGATTATGCTTTGTTGACGGTTTAACTGATCATCCAGAGTCACATCACATTACGTCTGTTCACTCAGAGTCCTGTCACTTCCTGTCTGTGGCACCCAGACCCTCAGGGACTGTTCCTCAGTATGTCACGTATCTGGTCTTCCGTTCACT